CGCAAGGCACGCAGCACACGGTCCACGTTGCCGCTGGTGGAGTTGCAGCCCATGAGGCCGATTCGCAGGACCTGGGAGTAGAAGGGCAAGCGTCTCCTTCTAGCACCCACCCTTGCGGCCATGCTGCAGCGCTGTCTCCCTGCGAGCAGAGCGGCCAACGGCAGAGTGGAGGCTCGTGTGCGGAGCGGGGAGCTGGTGAGGAGCGGCCGTGTCCGTGGCTGGGTGTGAGTGCACGTGCACGACTCCCTGCTTGCTCCTATTTAACACGTGGTTCCTCTAAAGACTTGTCACCCTGCTAATTATGTGCGTGGTTATTCAATTAGGTGCAGCAATTGTGTGCGGTTAGGAGCCGCGATGCATCGCTGCAGGCGATGGGATGCATCCAGCAGCACGTTTGCTGTATGCAGCCAGAGAGCACCAGTTAATAGTGGGGTGTGCTACTGATGGATGCGGCCGCAGCCAGGTTCGGTACCCAGCCACGGGCAGTGGGAGGGGAGGATGCTGCCCACCTTGCCCACTGAGGGGCCCAGGCCACCGGCGATCTCGATGGCGTGGTTGTCCATGAGAAAGGCTGTGATCTCCTTCCAGTCGTAGCCCTCGGGCACCTTGACAGTGGTGACCGTGGGAAGTCTTGCCTTCTGCAGAGGAGAGAAACCAGGTTAAATCTGCAGCTCCTGGCTGTGGCCCTGTCTGGGCTCATGGAGGCGGAGTTTTTTCTCCACCATCCAAAGCTGCCCCGGCGCATCTCCAGCCACACAGGGCCATGTCCTCACGCTGCCCCTGCACCACGGCGGTGGGCTTGCCCCGCACACACCTCCTCCTTCACAAAGAGCTCGAGCCCCAGGTCGCACAGCCCCTGGCACAGCTGGATGCAGTTGGCCTGGTGGCGTTCCCAAGAGCTCTCCAGACCCTGTGGGCAGAGAGGAGGGAGAAGGTCCCTGCTGCCGGCGGTGCTCTTCTGGCATCCATCACGCCCCCAAGCCCCACCGGCACTGCTGGTGACCCCCTGCCTGCCCCATGCCGCTCACCAGCTCCGCCAGCATGGCCAAGCTTTCCCGCAGGCTGAAGAAGCTGTTGATGGGTGCCGTGTGGTGGTATCTGCAAAACCCAAGGGGCACCCAGGTGGGTTCATCCCGGCCCATGGCAGAGCGGTGTTGGGGGGGGAAGCTGAGGTGCGTCTTTACCCAGCACAGAGGGGATGCAAATCCCCCAGGGCCACTTTGCGACCAGCAGACAGGGTGATGGAGAGACAGGGCCCAAGCCCTGAGGGCAGGCAGCCCCTGAGCTGGGGGAGAAGGCTGTGGGTGGGATGGCAGTGCCCATCTGTCCCGGGACAGCCTGCCCTCACCTTCGTGGCTCCCCGTCGCAGCCCCAGTAGTTTGCCAGCCAGCCCATGTCCAGGTAGAAGGACGGGGGCTTCGTCTTCCTCCTCAGCATCTTCTCCCTGGCAAAGCAGAGTGCTGGCACGAGCTGGACCTTGACCCCACTGGCTCTGGGGTGGGGTCAGTCCTGCGAGAGGACCCCCCCAAAGTGAGCGGAGAGATTGGCTCCAGCACCCATCACTGCCCAGGGATGGGATGGGCTCTGACCCCGTAGAGCTGCTGCTGGGCACGCTCTCCAGAGCGGGGCTGGAGCGGATGGCTGGCAAAGCTGAGGGGGTGACAGCCTTCCCCCAGCCCTATCGCCTTTCGCCCCGGTGGGACAGGGCTGCCCTTACCTGGCTCGCTCACTGAACGAGATGGGGGCACTGCCAGGAGGGGCGTTGAGGACTTTCTGAGATGCCGAATATAGGACATCGATCTCTGCTCAAGAGGGGAGAGGAGCTCCTTAGGGACCAGGGATTCCCAGCAGGGACCTGCGGAGCCCCCCCAACCTGGCTGCGAGTAGTGGGTGGGAAGCACGGAGTGGCACACGCCACAGGTCCTGCTTGTGTTTGCCCTGCTTTGGGGGACACCCTGGCACTGCTGGCAGCCCCCTGAGGGGAACAGGCTCTCCAGCCGCAGCTGGACCGCTTTCTAGTGCTGCTAACCTGAAATGCGGGTGGTGGGGCTGATCCCACTGCCCTCCCTCCCTGGCCCAGATGTGACCCCCGCCTTGTCCCCTGGGTGCCTGTGATGGCACTGTGGCTCTTACCCTGCTGGTCCATGAAGATGGGGGCTCCCCCGAGCGATGCTACCGCATCCACGACCATCAGGCAGCCATGCCTGTGGGAGGCCAGAGCTCAGCCTGCTGTCCCTGCCACCTCCTCTTGCCACCCCTCTGCCCGTAGCCCCGGCATCCTGATCCTCCCAAGGCCACGTGTCTCACTGGCACCAACCACTTCCAGCACAATAGAGCCAGAGAAGAGCCCGGGGCATGTAAATCCCCGTGCCCTAATCCCCAGTGGTGACCTTGGGGTGCTGCCAACCCCCCACGGGTGCCTGCGTGCACTGACCGGTGGCACAGCTCGCCCAGCCCCTCCAGCGGCTGCAGCACCCCGGTGGAGGACTCGCCATGGGTGATGAAGAGCACCGAGGGCTTGTGCCATGCCAAGCCCTGCATGAAACAGAGGAGAAGATGGCTTACCCCTGCGGCCGGCTTGCGCCCGCTGCCCTGCACCACGGCCAACACTCACCTCCTCGATGTCCGACAGAGTGAAGTATTCACCTGGGGGCTTCAGCAGCTCATGGACATTGGCTCCTGGGAGGGATTTGGGCAGAGGGAGAGTGAGGTTTGGGCATGCCTCCCACTGGGCAGCCACCTGCTCGGGGTGGGGGAATCGGTCATGCATGAACCAGGAGTGCGGCCACCCACCAGGGTCTGACCTCCCACGGATTTGCCCAGTGGAAAAGTCATAAACCACCGTAAATGGAGGGTTACCACCCTGGAAAAAACCTGGAGTGCTCACCGGCTGCAGAAGCCGTGTCACTCGTCACTGCTGCTGGCATGGGGATAGCAAGCCAGAGGTCACATTCTGGCACAAGCCACCCACAATCCTGGTCCCTTGAGCCCTGCTGGTGCCGTCCAGCTGTCCCCCACGTACCCAACCTCCTGGCGATGTCGGTGGCACGTTGTCCCCAGATGCCGTTGACGGCCACCAGTGCGATGTCGCCGTGCTCCAGGAGGTTGAAGAGGGCAGCCTCCATGGCGCAGTGGCCGGTGCCGCTGATGGCCAGAGTCAGCTGGTTCTGCGTCTGGAAGGCATACTGGATGCCTGCCTTGATCTCATCCATCACCTGCAGCGGCAGGGGACCGACCAGCGCTGCTATTGCCCTCCTGGTCCCAGCAGAGCTGTCCTAGCCC